GATACAGCACATTAATAGAACGAAAGATTTAAACAAATCGTATGATCATCTCCATCGATGCAGCAAAAGCATTTGACAAAATACAGCATCCTTTCATGATAAAAACCCTGAACAAAGTGGGGATAGAGAAGACATACCTCAGTATAATAAAGACAAACCACACAGCTAACATCATACTCAACAGAGAGAGGTTGAAAGCTTTTCCTCTAAACTCAGGAACAAGACAAGGCTGGTCAGAATGCATATTCAATCCCTAAAATATTAAATTCATTGAGAATTGGGTTTGGGCCCAGCAAATGCTTTATCCTGGTGAACATATCCTTTGAACTTGAAAAGAGTGTGTGATTTACACAGATCTAAACTTCAGATTTCAGGTGTATTGTTCTAAACACAGCAAGTCCATGGAGGTAGTTGATAGTATTGTTCAGCCCGTCTGTGTCAGGGGCCAACAAACTTCTCATGCAAAAGAACAGAGTAAAATTCTTAGGTTTTTAAGCCACATAGGGTCGCTGTTGCTACTAATGTTGCTCTTTCTTCTCTTTCCTCCCCCAGTTTCTGCCTCCCCCTCCGTTCCTTCCCCTCTCCCATCCTTCCACTCCTCCTCCACCTCCTTCTTCACTATCCATTGAAAGTGAAAAAACATTCTTAGTTCCTGGGCTATTCAAAAACAGGTGGTGAGCTGCTTTTGGCCAGGGCGCTATCGTTTGCCAGTTCCTGTTCTCTGTCTTAACAGATTGTGTTGTCTCCCTCTTTCGCTTACTGTGATTTTTCAACCTGTCCCCCTTGCACCTATGAATCCTATCAATTCTTTTTTTTAAATATATTTTTTTTACTGATTTCAGAGAGGAAGGGAGAGGGAGAGAGAGAACCATGATCGGCTGCCTCCTACACACCCCACACTGGGGACTGAGCCAGCAACCTGGACATGTGCCCTGAGTGGAAATCGAACCGTGACCTGTTCCATTGGTCGACGCTCAACCACCGAGTCACATTGGCCGGGCAATCCTATCAATTCTTGCTTCATGTATGTTGAAGTTATGTTATTGGGCATATATATATTTACAATTGTTTTATCTCCCAGATGGATTAATTGCTACTTTTACTATTTTGCAATGTATTCCTTTATCTTTGGTCGCATAGTTTTCCTTGAAGACTGACTTATCTCATATTGATATAACGACATCAGCCTTCTTTGCTTACTATTTACTTTTGTATGTCATTTTCCATCCTCTTACTTCCAGTTAGTGTCTGTATATTTTAACTGACTCATGTAGGCAGTCTGTAGTGTGGTCTTTTAAAAATTTTTCTAATAATGTCTGCTTCTAAATTGGATTATTGGGCAAATTTACATTTAATATATTACTGATATGGTTGCATTTAAATCTACCATTTTGCTGTTCATTTTTTGATCTTCCTTTCTTTTTGGCTCAACTTAGTTGAGGCAAAATGTACATATGGAAAAGCGCACACATTTTTTTATTCCTCACCGGAGGGTATTTTCCTATTGATTTTTAGCGAGTGGAAGGGACATAGAGAAACATCAATGTGAGAGGGACACATCGATTGGTTACCTCCCAAACGCACCCCAACCTGGGCTGAGCCTGCAACCGAGGTATGTGTCCTTGACCAGAATCTAACCCTAGACCCTTCAGTCCGCAGGCTGACGCTCTATCCAATGAGTCAAACTGGCTAGAACCAGTGCACACATTTTAAGTATACAATGTTATGAGTTATGGCAGTGGCACATACAACAAAAGTCAAGATAGAAAACATTGCCATTACTCTCACAATTCCCCTCGAGCTTCTTAACGGTGGATCCCTTCCTCTACATTCTGCCCAGACAAAAATATAGATTAGATTCGCTTTTTCTGGAATTTCATTCTCACAGTATTTTACAGTGTGTACTCTTTTGAGTCTACCACCTTTAACTTAGCATAATTATTTTAGATTCATCTAAGTTGTTGGGTGTTTCAATAATCTATCCCTCTGTATTGCTGAGTGCTATTCCACGCACAGATGTATCATAATCGCTGTAACCATTCACCTGTTGATGGACATTCGGGTTGTTTTCAAATTGGGTTTTTACTAATAGAGTCGATACAAAAGTTTAGGTACAAGTCTTTGTGAAGACATATGGTTTTAATTATCAGGTAAATAGCAGAAGCGGCCTTCCTGGAACATGCAGTTAAGTGGAAATTTAACTTTATAAGCAACTGGAGAACTGTTTTTCAATATGATTATGCCAACTTGCATTTCCACCAGCAGAGCATGAGCTTTTCATTTTGTCTGTATTCTCTTTTAGTCATACTTATATCTTCCAACTTTATTCTTCTTTTTTAAGTTTGAGTCTCCATTTTAGGTTCTTTGCATTTCCATATACATGTTGGGATCAGTTTATCTATTTCTGCAAAGTCAGGATTTTTGCTAGCTTTATACCAAATTTATAGAATGGTGTGGTGAGAAAGTACAATCTAAGAATGCTGGGTTTTCCAACCCATGAACATTATCTATTTCTCCACTTATGTGGGTTTTCTTGAATTTCTCTTGTCCACTGTTTTCAGTTTTCATTGTAAATATTTTTCACATTTTAAAAAATATGTTTTATTGATTTTTTAAAGACAGGAAGGGAGAGGAATAGAGAGATAGAAACATTGATGAGGGGAACCATCATCGGTCAGCTGCCTCCTGCACCTCCATACTGGGGATTGGCTGCCTCCTGCAACCCCTACTGGGGATCGAGCCTGAAACCAGGCATGTGCCCTGACCAGGAATTGAACTGGTGGCCTCCTGGTTCCTGGGCTGATGCTCAACCACTAAGCTACACCGGCTGGGCTATTTTGCACATTTTGAAAGTACATCACTATTTTCATGTTTTGGGATACCATTATGAAGGATAGTGATTTTAAATTTTTCACTTTCTTTTTTTTTTTTTGTAGCTAGGATTTTCTACATACACAAACATGTCATTTCTGAATAAAGATACTTCTATTTCATTTTTTCCAATTTGTATGACTTTTATTTCTCTTTCATTCATAGTTCACTGCCTAAGATTTCTAGGACCACTTTTGAACCGAATTCTGTCTTTTGCCATTAAGTAGTAAAAGCGCTTCAAAATATGTATGTGGTGCATATATATTTAGAGTTGTTATGTCTTCTTCATGAACTGACCCCTTTATCATTGGCAAATGTCCTTCATTCCATCATATTCCTTGTCCTGAAGGCTACTTGGCCTGCTATTAATAGAACCATTCTAACTTTCTTATGGTTATAGTTTGCATGGTATATCTTTATCCATCTTATTTTTATCATATCTATGTCTTTATATTTAAAGTGTATATCTTATGCTAAGCGTATTTTTTTGTGTTTCTTTTGTATACAGTCTGACAATCTCTGCCTTTTAATTGCAGCATTTGGACCATTTACAATTAATGTAATTAGTTATATGGTGGAGTTTAAACCTATCACCCTGCTATTTCTTTAAAAATATTTCTCCCATGTGTTCTGTGTTCCTCTTTCCATATTTTCATGAATTCTTTTAGATTGTATAATTTTTAGAATTCTACTTTATATCTAATACATACTTAGATCTAGTGTTTCTAATACGTATTTTATAATAGACTACCTTCAAGTAATTGAAAATCATTTTGCATATGATGCAAGAACATTGCAACAATATCGTTCCCATTACCCACTCATGTCCTTTGTACTATTGTTGTCATACATTTTATTTCCACAGAGGTTATAAATCCCACACTATGTTAATATTTTTGCTTTAAACAATTTTCTATGACTTAAAGGAATATAAAAATGAGAAACATTATATTTACCAACATATATTCTATTACCAGGACTCTTCATTCCTTGATGTAGATCCAAGTTTCCATTTGGTATCATCCTTTCTTGTGGAAAACTGACTTTAACATTTCTTGTAATGCAGGTTTTCTGCTGATAACAAATTATCTCTGCTTTTATATGTCTGAAAAAAGTCTTTTATTTTGCTTTTTTACTGAGGTAAAATTGAGTAACATGAAAGTAACCGTTTTAAAGCAAACAATTCAGTGGCATTTAGTGCTTTCCCAATGTCTAAGGATTGAGAGAGCAGCTAGAGAAATGAGCCTTGGATAGGAGGGCAGAGCCCTCTTCCACCAGGACAGGAATAGGCAAGGATGTTGGCTGCTGTGAATAAGTCTGAAGATGCATTATGAGGCAAGGAGCTGACAGTCCTCTTGATGATCAGAGGAGAGAGGAGAAGGTATATTACAGAGGGCCTGGCATTCCACAGGAGGACATTGGCTTTGACTTTGAGTGATGTGAGAGGCACTAAAAGGTTCAGAAAAGGCAAAGGAGGGACCTGACTGATGGCTTATCACTGATCCTGGACTGGGGTTCTGCTGGGTTGGTGCTGGTGAAATAAGGGGGCCATTTCAGATCATTACAAGGTCCAGGGTCATTTATTCAGGGGGAAGTTTATGGGGGAATTGACGTTGATGTCCTTACAGGAGCTGCATGCACTGTGACTTCTAGGTCTGTGCCCTTCTTCTTGCTGTGGGACTGACGGGGTTACAATTTCCATGCTCCTGGCCTGTACTTACCACTGGCCTCTTGAGCCTAAACCAGTGGCCGGCAAACTGCGGTTCACGAGCCACATGCGGCTCTTTGGCCCCTTGAGTGTGGCTCTTCCTAAGCCTTAGGAGTACCCTAATTAAGTTAATAACGATGTATCTACCTATATAGTTTAAGTTTAAAAAATTTGGCTCTCAAAAGAAATTTCAATCGTTGTACTGTTGATATTTGGCTCTGTTGACTAATGAGTTTGCCGACCACTGGCCTAAACTCATTCCTCTAATTCTGAGTCTTATTCCTATAAGCTTGGAACCTGTCTTCTTTGTCTCTGGACCTTCCCTCCCCCTATTCCCTTTTGTAGACTGGGACACCAAACTTAGACCCTCATCTGACTCTGAGTTTGGACTCTACAGGTGCCGGTTTCTGTACGTGGTTCCATGCAGCTGGAAAATGGGACCCCAGTGGCCCAGTTTCTTCTGGAAGGATTGACTGACACAGAGGAGCTGAGGCCCTTGCTCTTTGCCATCTTTCTGCTGGTCTACATAGTGGCTATCATTGGGAACCTGGGTATTGTCAGCCTTATCATAATGGACTCCCGGCTCCACACTCCCATGTACTTCTTCTTAGCCAACCTGTCACTGCTGGACACTGCCTATATCTCCAACACAGTGCCTCAGGTGCTGGTGCATCTGCTGGCATCGGTGCGGGCCATGCCCTATCGTGCCTGCCTTACCCAGATATTCTTTCTCCACTTCCTGGCACCCTGGGAGTGTTTCCTGCTCACAGCTATGTCCTATGACCGCTATGCAGCCATCTGCCAGCCACTGCACTATCTGGTCCTCATGGGCCGAAGAACCCGGATAGGACTGGCTTCCATCTCCTGCCTTCTTGCCTTGACCAATGCACTCACCCACACCATCCTTGCAGCTCTACTCCAGTTCTGCGGGCCTCGCCTCATCACCCACTTCTTCTGTGACCTGCCTCCACTGCTCAAACTCGCTTGTTCCAGCACGCAGGCGAACGAACTTGCCCTGTTCTTCTTTAGTTTCCTGGTGGCTCTTGCACCCTGCGCCCTGGTCGTGATCTCCTATATACACGTTGTAGCTGCTGTTCTCAGGATGAACTCTGCCGAGGGCCGAAGGAAAGCCTTTTCCACCTGCGGCGCTCACATCACTGTGGTATGTATTTTCTACATCACTTCGGTCCTCTGCTACATCCTTCCCAGCTCGGCGTACTCTGGCCTACGAGACCGGGTGCTCTCTGTGCTGTACGTGGTCCTCACTCCCATGCTCAACCCCATCATCTACGGCATGCGAAACAAGGAGGTGAAGAGGGCTTTGTTTAAGGTCCTCGGGAGGGACAGTGCCTCCTAGGTGGTAGGCACATCCCATCAAGGCCACACGCCTTCTTCACGGTGAGGCTGGCACATGCCCGATGCTTTGGGGGTGAGTCCAACCACCGAGGGGTTTGGAATTTAACGTAGATGGTGCATTTGGAGAATCCCGTTTTGTGTGGAAGGTTTTTCCCCATCCCAGAAAAGCTCAAAATATCTCTGTGGCATATTTTTTATTTGAAAACGTTGTTTTCCACTGATGGAAGTAAAACGTGGTCATTGGCTAAGTTGTGCGGTCACAGAAACGTATAAAAAGATTTTTAAAAATATGCTCCACAATCTTACCATCCAGAGAGAACCACTGTGAACATTGATGGTGTCCTTCAGGTTTCTTTTTGAACTGCAAATGTATGTCCATGCATGTTTAAAGCAGGAAAACACAATTGGAATCAGAATGTATTGACAGCTCAGCTGGCATGGCTCAGTGGTTGAGCATCGACCTATGAACCAGGAGGTCATGGTTCGATTCCCGGTCAGGGCACATGCCAGGGTTGTGGGCTTGATCCCCAGTGTGGGGCATGCAGGAGGCAGCCAATCCATGATTCTCTCTCATTATTGATGTTTCTATCTCTCTCTCTCCCTCTCTGAAATCAATAAAAATATATTTTAAAAGAATGTATTTACAGTTATGGTATGCTTAGATACATTTCATTTTTTCAACTGTAATGTATGCTTATTATAAAATCATGCTTGATACAAAGGTGTGTTGTTAGAAGGAAAAAATGTTTCATAATCTGAGTCCTGTACTAACCACTATGAACAGTTTTATGTGTTTTCTTCCCGACTTTTTCTTAGGCTATACTAACCTGCATTTTAATACAATATTTTTTACATAAATAGGGTGATACCACATGTAAATTGGATGTCTGTAATTCTTATTCCATGAATTCCATGTTCTTGTCATTTGTACAATTTTTCTTCTGGGTTGTTTGTCTTTTTATATATTGATTTTTAAAAGGTACTTTCATTTTAAAGACACTAATTTTTTTTCTAAATTGTTTGTCTTTTCACTTTCTTTTTGGTGATTCCTTCCAAAACAGAATTTCAGACTTTTCTGTAATTAGACATTGATTTTAATTTTTGTTTTCTGGATTTTGTATCCTGCTTTGTTTATTATTTGCCTGATAAATAGTTTTTCCAATTGATTCCCAATTTGATGCTTTTCTGGTGTTTTCTGCTATAAATACACTTATTTCTTTGTATTCAGACATCGATTCATTTTTATTCATACATGGCTTCTGGGTTTCATATCATGCATCGATTTCTACATCAATGTTTCTCCTTTTATTTTTATAGTTTCATATTTTCTACTTAATTGTATGTTTTCATTTCTTCCCCATTTAAACTTTGATTCTTTGAGAAATTTACTGTCCATAAAAAGCAGGGTCGCTAAAACCGGTTTGGCTCAGTGGATAGAGCATCGGCCTGCGGACTGAGGGGTCCCAGGTTCGATTCCGGTCAAGGGCATGTACCTGGGTTGCGGGCACATCCCCAATAGATGTGCAGGAGGCAGCTGATCGATGTTTCTCTCTCATCGATGTTTCTAGCTCTCTATCTCTCTCCCTTCCTCTCTGTAAAACATCAATAAAATATTAAAACAACAACAACAACAAAAAAAAAAGCAGGGTCATGACCGGCTTTCTTTTTCTTCTAACTTAAGTCATCCAAGTAATTTCATTCTTGTTCTTTATGTATTCTTTGCTTTGACTCTGGCTACTGACATTTTTTTTTAATTTATCTCTATCGTTGAAAGTATTACAGATGTTCCCTGCCCCCCTCCCCCAAAGATCCCCTCCACTCCACTCCCGCCCTCTCCCCAGGTCTTCCCTGCTTTCTTGTCTGTCCATGGGCTATGCATATATGCATATAATGCATTGGTTAATCTCTCCCCCTCCACTTCTCTCTGAAATACATCAGTCTGTTGCATGCTTCAATATCTTTGGATCTTTTTTTTTTGTTTGTGAGTTGATTTTGTTCATTAGATTGCACATATAAGAGAGATCATGATATACTTCTCTTTCTCTGACTGGCTTATTTCACTTTGGCTATTGACTCTTTACTTTAGTCACATATCAGGCTTGATCCCTTAGGACACATCTGCTGGTGTTATGGCTGATAAACCCTATCTTCCAATGAGGAAGTGGCACTTGTGTTTGGTTTTGGACATCAACTTCGCATTCACATAATCCTGGCCTTTCTCCCCATCCATCCTTCACTCTACTACATGCTAGACTCTACATGCTAGAGCATTCCCTCGTTCTCTAACCAGGTAATGTACTGAGCTTACAGAGATCTGGCTAAATGTGTTGTGAGGGAATTTATACTTCCTGCAAAATTCTGAAGGAAAGTATGTTCCAATTATGACAAAGACTTGGTTTCTTTAATATATAAAGAGCACTCACCAATCAATAATCTGAAAACTTTCTCACCACCAAAACTTAGACTGTGTATATTTACATAAATATGCATGCATATCTAAACTTCATACTTAGTAGAACATCAATTATAATAGTAAAAAATATTTAAAAACCCAAATGCTCAAGTAGCACCAAGGCAACAGTCCTCTAATCTGTTCGTGCCCTACCCTTCTCTGTCATTTGCTTCTTATCCTCGTGTTTCTCCCTGAACCCTTGGGAATGCAACCCAAACTGCAAGGAATAAACGAAGATGGGAGTTTAGAATTCAGTGAAAACAGCATTTCAACTCACTGGAGAAATCTGAATTATTTGGAAAATGATGTCGAGACACCTGACTAAACTCTGATGGAGGAACTAAAATAGATCAATGTCATTTTTTCACACTAAAATAAATTCTTAGTGGATTAAAATATCAAAGTTATGCCCTAGCTCAGCCGTGGGCAAACTACGGCCTGCAGGCCGGATCCGGCCCATTTGAAATGAATAAAACTAAAAAAAAAAAAAGACCGTACCCTTTTATGTAATGATGTTTACTTTGAATGTATATGAGTTCACACAAACACTCCATCCATGCTTTTGTTCCGGCCCTCTGGTCCAGTTTAAGAACCCATTGTGGCCCTCGAGTCAAAAAGTTTGCCCACCCCTGCCCTAGCTCAATGGTCGGCAAACTGTGGCTCGCGAGCCACATGCGGCTCTTTGGCCCCTTAAGTGTGGCTCTTCCACAAAATACCAACTTCTGCGCACGGGACACGAAGTTTCAATCGCACTGCACATGCACACCTGCACGTGGTATTTTGTGGAAGAGCCACACTCAAGGGGCCAAAGAGCCACATGTGGCTCACGAGCTGCAGTTTGCCGACCACTGCCCTAGCTGGTTTGGCTCAGTGGATTGAGTGTCTGCCTGTGAACTGATGGGTCCCAGGTTCGATTCCTGCCAAAGGCACATGCCCGGGTTGCAGTGCTTGATCCCCAGTAAGGAATGTGCAGGAGGCAGTCGATCAATGATTCTCTCTCATCATTGATGTTGCTATCTCCCCCTCCCTCTTTCTTTCTCTCTGAAATCAATAAAAAAAATATATAAAAATATTAAAGCTATGAGTGTCAAATTTTATGACATTATAGTGGCTGAGGCTTTCCATTGGACAGAAACTGCAGAAATCATCATAAAAAAATTGATCACTTAAATAACTTTTAAATTTTCTTAATAATTTCTATATAGAAAGGAATTATGAGCATAAATAAAATGAAGCTATGATGTAGGAAAGTATGTTCCAATTATGACAAAGACTTGGTTTCCTTAATATATAAAGAGCACTCACCAATCAATAAGTAAACTATGAGTATTCCAATTAAAAGTAGACAAAGGATATGAATACACAGTTCTCAGAAGAAGAGACACCACTAGCCCAATGTCATAGGAATTGGTAAGCCACATTAGAAATCAAAAAAAAAGGAAACAATATTGAGATATGATTTTGGTTACTATATGGGCAAAGATTTGAAAGGTTGAAAATGTTTTCTTTGGGGGGTGTTATGGACTAAATTGCCCCCTCACCCAGTTATATTTTGAAATCCTAATGTGACTGTATTTGGAGATAGGGACTTAAGGAGGTAATTAACGTTAAATCAAATCATAATGGTTAGCCCCTACCAGGGTGGCCCCCCTTTCTCTCTCCATATACATAGAGGAAAGGCCATGTAAGGACACAGTAAGAAGGCAGTTCAAGGAGGAGGCCTCACCACAAACCAACCCTGCTGGTACCTTGATCCGGGACTTCAAGTTTCCAGAACGGTGAGAAAATAAATTTCTGTTGTTTAAGCCACCTAGTGTCTGGCATTTTGTTATATTGCCTGAGCTCACAAATAGAGGCACACCTCAGAGAGATTGCAGGTTTGGTTCCAGGCTGCCACAAATAAAGCGAATATTGCAATAAAATGAGTCACACAACACCCCTCCCCCCCCCTCCCCAGTGCATATAAAACTATGTTGTAGTTTAAGTGTACAAAAACATTATGCCTAAAAAAATGATGTCCAGCCGAAACCGGTTTGACTCAGTGGATAGAGCGTCGGCCTGCGGACTGAAGGGTCCCAGGTTCGATTCTGGTCAAGGGCATGTACCTGGGTTGCGGGCACATCCCCAGTAGGGGGTGTGCAGGAGGCAGCTGATTGATGTTTCTCTCTCATCGATGTTTCTGGCTCTCTGTCTCTCTCCCTTCCTCTCTGTAAAAAATCAATAAAATATATTTTAAAAAAAATGATGTCCGTACCTTAATTTAAAAATACTTCATTGCCAATTCGCATGGATGGAACTGGAGAGCATTATGCTAAGCGAAAAAAGCCAGTCAGAGAAAGATAAATATCACATGATCTCACTCATTTGTGGAATATAAGGAACAACATAAACTGATGAACAAAAACAGATCCAGAGACAGAGAAGCATCAATCAGACCGTCAAAGGTAGGGGAGGGTGGGGGTAAGGGGGAGAGATCAACCAAAGGACTTGTATGCTAGCATACAAGCCTAACCAATGGACACAGACAACAGGGGGGTGAGGGCATGAGT